CCATTCAGTTATTACAATTTGTTTTCAAAATAGTTTAAACATCAGAGTTCCCATAAATCATAATCATAAATTCAGGAAGTGTACGGTCACGCCTTCGCCATCCCGCGGTCATCCGTTGAACCTGAAACAATAAACTGAAACTGTAAGCTCGAAGGCCTAGTGAGTTACCCCCAAAATACCAACACCATATAACCATAATCATATCATATCAACAAATATAGAGCAACATGCATAATGAGCCTTCAGCCTGACTGGACCGCCTCGCAGGCCTTCAGTCTATCTGGACCGCTCTCCGAGCCTTCGGCACGTCTGGACCGCCTCGTAAGGCCTTCATCCTATCCGGACCGCTCGTTGGGCCTTCGGCCTGACTATGTGCCCTCCTGGGCCTACAGTCTATCCTGTCCGCCCTGGGTATGTTGGCCTTCAGCACAAAGCAGAACCGCCTCAACCCAACCCCCCCTCCCAATCAAACAATCATGTGCACATAAATATCATAAGCTAGCTAGCATGTATAGGTAGTCATACAGATCTAACAGATCACTAACATAGCAGCCATCCTATAACCAGGATACCGATCTAACCGATCACTAACATAGCAACCATCCTATAACCAGGATATCGATCTAACCGATCACTAACATAGCAACCATCCTATAACCAGGATACCGATCTAACCGATCACTAACATATCATAATCCTATATACCAGGATACCGACCTAAACCAGGTCACTAAACATAATACCATCCTAACTACCAGGATGCATATCTAGCAGATCAATAAACATATCAAGAAAATACCCGGATATAAATCATATAAAGGGTCGACCTTTGTGCCTTAGACCCTGTTGATATAATGAGGATAACTCACCTCGCAATGCCGAGCTGAACTGAAGAATCGAACTCCCAAAACGCTGTCTCACCAAAATCCCGGATTGTCCAAATAAATACCAAGTCATTACACAACATAACAAACTTGACTAGGGTCTACACAATCCATCATGTTCATTCTCTTTATTGGGCCAAGGCCCAATGCCAAGTCCATAACCTTGAAAGTCCTTATGCAAAGCCCAATATTGGCCTAATTTACCAAATTGGGCCCAGCTCCCTAATTGGGCCTCAATCCAAGATCCATTATCAAAACTTGGCCCAAAACATTATATTCATAAAGTCCAGCAAAGGCCCAAATCCAATTAGTCCATAAACAGCCCAAAACCCGAAGCCCAATTGTCAAAGGCCCAACAGAGGACGTACGCAGGGCGTACTCGTCCAGATGTTGAACACCATCGGGGTGGTTGACCCAGTACACTGGGTGTACTGGATTTACGGTGGGCGTACGCGGGGTTTCACCAAAACCCTAATAAGTGCTTAATGGCTTAAGCACTTAAGTCCAAACTCCAGATCCATCGACCAAATGTGCCATAGGACTATAAAGTCTCGAACTTTATCACTTTGGACGTCCATAAAGTTCTTAACACATGGTCTTAATCTATTAAGACCTTCCTACTTCATGCATGAGACAAATCTAGCTATTAAGACACCATTTTTATCACTTAGGACCTCCTCTAAGGTCTGAAAGGACAGCTCATTTCGTCCAAATCATAACATGCACCATTTTGGGACTTTTGGGACAAGAATGCTTCCATAAAGCTAAAATCACTAGATCTATCTCATACAAGTATAAAGATCCAAGCTTTTTACCTTCTGGAGCTTCTAGGGCACAAACCAACTTCAGATCTACAAGCTTGATCTTCTTCTCCAACTCCTTGATGCAACACCTTCTTCTTAAAACACTTAAGAAACACTCAAAAAGCTCAAACACTCAAGGAAATGGTTAGGATTTGGGGAAAACGACTCTAAGCAGTGGAGGCTGGGGTAAGGGAGGGTCTTGTGCTCATATTGTTGCTTATATAGTCCCCAAACCCTAAATATTAGGGTTTCCTTCTTCCACGAGTACGCCCAGCGTACACAAGTGTACGCCCAGCGTACTAGGGCGCGCCTAGTACGCTCAACGTACCATCATGTACGCGCAGCGTACTCCTCCTGACCCCAATATTTGCAATTTAGCCCTTAGACTTACATGGCTTTATCCTTCTATCCCCAGGGACTATAAATGACAAATATTGGGATGTTACAATATATTTATCATGTTTTCTGGGAACAAATTCCGCAATATTATTCTTTAAAATGAATACTCTGATTTTTAAATAAACATAAATATATTTTTTTTTTAAATGACCGTGAATTTGGGGATGTCACAGGAAGATCAGACAAAGCTGCAACCACATAGCATAATACGGATCTCTAAAACTGTGACCTCCTCCAAATCGTAGAGCTCTGATACCACTTGTTGGGAAATCGACCTCAAGGTTCCCAACAACCTCCCAATAACAATAATAGAGAACAATAACTTGACACAAGAATATACGGGGAGACGTTCCAAACTTTCATCCTTCTAACAATATGGGATGAGAACCACTATTCATTCTCAACAGCCATGTCACCTGCTCAACTTATTAACCGAGACCATTCCCATATTAACAGAAAATTTAAAAGTTTATATACTTGTAGTGCTTAAAAATTAAATGATTGGACGATTTAAAGCCAAAATCAGAATTTAGTTGCCATATAATGACATAATCCCTATGAGTGCGAGGGTAAAATTGTCTAACAGTCACGCCATCGAAGCCCTTTTGCCCAAACGCAAACCCTCCGCTACTTCACCTTATTCGACAAACGTCCCCCCACAGTTTCAATTCTCCATCTCCTTCTCTTTTCTTCTCTCTGTGTGGATTCGTTTAGGCCTTGATCCAAATGGCAATGGCTGGGAGAATCAGATCAAGCGTCCCTCGCCTTACTAAGGCTCTGATGTCCGATTCTGTATCAACTCAGAGATTGAATGTCGAGCGAGCTTTGATCTGCCCTAATTTCACCGATCCCCAGGTGGTGGTAATTTATTTCACTATCTTGAAATTTAGAATCAGTAAATGTTTTTTCTTCTTGCTTTGTTTTCAAGATACTGGTTATATGCGGTTTTTGCTTTGTTATGAGATTCTTTTGTTTAAGGTATATGTAGCTGATTTACTGACTTTTCTAATGAATAAGTATTAGTGAAATGGGACGAGGGTGGTAGTTTGTATAACGCGGATTATTTTATTTTAGAAACAGACTACTGTATGGATAGAAAGAAATGATTCGAATTCATTTCGTTTTTCATAGAAAACAGAAAAGAACACAATTACTTGAATATGCAAACATGGGGTTGCAGAAGAAGCTATAGTTATGAAAAAACTTATGGTCTGAAATGAATTTGTAGTGTTTGAATTCATTGACTCATTGAGTGCTGTGTAATGTTGATTGTTTTCATGTAAATTACCTTGAAATGCAAGTTTGCTAATTTAGGGATCATTTTATTTGCAGCAGTCAAGGAACTTCGCCTCTGCTTCTTCAACAAAGGAACCAAAGATTAAGGTAATTGTGT